GGCAGGGGGTTGGACTGGATGGCCCATGAGGTCTCTTCCAACTCTTTGATTCTATGATTCTATGAAAGCATGCATTCTGTGTCCCAGCAATGGTTAAATAATCTGAAATGCAACTATGCCATTATAATAACATAAAGCTAGAAGTCTGGGGTCATTTAAAATCAGTGTTTATGGGGAAATGCATGCTATGCAGTAACAACCACCCCAATAATGACGGCATTGAACAAGGATTGAATTAAGGACTATGAGAACGGGATCTGATTCTAAGTAGGCGTTGATGATTATGTGTATTGTTTGTCGATGTACGTCTTATATATTGTTCACTGTTTATTTTTACTGTAAACCGCATTGAGTCGCCGCTCCAGGCTGATAAATGCGGTATACAAATGGAGTAAATAATAATAATAATAATAATAATAATCATTATATGAACTGGTGAATGTTTCCATCTCCTCCCACATTGATTGTGTATTCCTGAATGGCAGGGGGTTGGTCTGGATGGCACTTGTGGTCTCTTTCAACTTTATGATTCAGTGTTTATGCTTTCTCCATAACGTCTGTGGTCCTTGCTTTACTCTATGACCTCTCCAATTTCTACTCTTCCCCTGGGCTTTGAGACAGGATCCCTAAAGGGAGTTAATTATAACCTTGATTATTCATATGTCTACACTGCCATATAATCCAGTTCAAAGGAGATAATCTGGATTTTATATGGCAGTGTGGATGGGACCTAATAGGAGTTTAGAAGACTGGTAGAAGTGGAGTGCTTGCTATATAGGCTTGCTCATTAAGGACGCCATTCTCTATCTAGGAATCTAAAGGAAACAGCACAGAACAATCAGATAAAACTGTGTGACACCTGTGAAAACTGAGGTTGGAATGGTGTCTTACGTTATTACAATTGTTTTATTTCATTTTTTTTATAAAAAGGACAGATTAAAAGATGATACAATGCCTCCTTTTGTGTACAGAATAGAACAAGGTCAGAGTAAATATAGAAAATGGTCATATGAAAAGCCCGATATGAAGTTTGGCATCATCAGTCAATAGTCGAGCAGCAAAATGTGGGAGGCATTTACATCGCTGCAACATGTTACTGCACTAGCTAGGATTGCACAAATCATTCAATAATGTTTCAATAATGCATTTTCTTCATGTGAAAATCTAGTGTAAAATTATGCTAATTTTAGTGTAAAATTATGCTCACAGTCTTCTTTTCCTTCCTCCTCAGCATAACTTGGAAATATGATTAAAGAAAACAATAGATGTGCCATAAACGACAACAAAACATCAATTGATCAAGATTTTTATGTTTTCTTTCTAAAGGTATAATAAATTTCTTTGTTCTTCAGAATAAGTGCCTTGTATTATTTTAAGAGATGACATATAGTCAAGATAAGCATACTTCAAGCTACTGGGTGACAAGGATGAGAAAACATCAAAACATCTGGGCGTCCCTGGGCAATGTCCTTGCAGATGGCCAATTTTCTCACACCAGAAGCAACTTGCAGTTTCTCAAGTTGCTCCTGACATTGAAAAAAAAGTTACTGGTATGTTACTCATGTAATATATAAATATTACATACTGTATTACACACTGTAGAAGAAAACGAGCTAGTGAGGTTTGGGTGCCCAACTAGGACTCTGGAAATCTGAGTTCAAATCCCCACTTGGCCATGGAAACCCACTGAGAAACCTTGTGCAAGTCATACTCTCTGAGCCACAGAGGAAAGCAAGAGCAAACCCGATCTGAACAAATCTTGTCAAGAAAATCCCATAATATGTTTGCTTCAGGATTGCTGTTAAGTCAGGATTTTTTTTTTCGCATCAGGAGCGAATCTGCAAGTCACTTCTGGTGTGAGAGAATTGGCCATCTGCAACGACATTGTCCAGGGGACACCTCGATGTTTTTGATGTTTTACTATCCTTATGGGAGGCTTCTCTCACATCCCCGCAGATGGAGCTCAACCCGCTCTCCCCAGATTCGAACCGCTGTCGGTCAGCAGTCCCGCCAGCACAAGAGTTTAACTCATTGTTAAAGTTATTGAAATGACTTGAAGGGACACAGCAACATGAAGAGAAATCTAATTGCATTGCACACAATGAAAGTTTACATTTGTACTAAACGCCTTCCAAGAATTTATCTGGAAAACTGGGATTGGTGAGTATCTTGGTAAGAGAGAGAAGATGTAGCAGATTTGGGAAAGATAAACACTCCACTCACTATTTTGCACCTTTCAAAAGTTACATTTTTAAATGATTTTGAGTGAGGTCAGTACAAGTTCTTGTTATATGGCAGCACATCATATTCCACATCCATGTATCTGCTTCATCCACCAGATTTTTGAGCAAACAAGAAGTATGCACCATGAGAATTATAATACAGAGGGCCTTAATGTAACTGAAACTGATATGGCCCATTTTAATCCACAGCTATTGCTACATTTTATTGGATATTTTATTTAAATTACTTGGGTTTTTTATATACTGCTTTTATGTATATTTGTTTTCTGTAGTTGCCTATGCATTTTATTGTACTTGTATGTTTACAGCACTAAAATGTGTTTTTGTAAGCTTCCTCGAGTCCCTTTTGGGAGATGGTGGCAGGATAAAAATAAAGCTGTTGTTGTTTTTGTTGTTGTTGTTATTATTATTCCAGACTTTTTATTTCCATCAGCTGCGAATCTGCTATTTGCACTGGCTGCAGATCATTACTAAGTAATAGTGATGTTAATGCAGACACATTGAAGCATGCATGTTCATGTTGCCACCATTTAATAATATGGGGCATGATAATCCACACTTTTTTGTATCTGTACAGGATCCCAAAACCAAACTCCCACAGATATAGCAGGTCCACTGCATATAATTCTATGATACATTTTTAGTCAGGTTCTCTGCATATCATACATTTTGTCTCTGACTAACCAAGTCAACTTGCATTTTAAAACATTTTCTGTAGTATACATTTTATGAATCAGGAGAGATAAAGTCATTATTTGACCTTTGATTTCAAGAGGAAAGACGATAACAAATAGTTTGTAAGTGCTATCTTCATTCAACTAGCTGAGTCAGGTCCAAGTTATTAGGGAGCCTAAAATTAAGAGAAAAATATAATGTTTCATTTCAAAAAACACACTCTCAGTGTCTTTTATAGCCACAGACAGGATAAGTGCGGCCACAAAAAACATTAGGCCAGAAGGCATATTGCTGGTTAAAATTTGAAGATCTCCAGCACTTGGCTGCATCTCTGTCACACTGGCACATTAATTTTTGGCATCTGTCCAGTGTTGGATCTGAAAAAGAGGATGACAGGAGGAATAGTTAAAGAAGAAATAGAACATAGATTGAGATGTTTAGATAAAGAGTGGGATACAAATATTTTAATAAAACAAAATAATAAATACTGAAGCAACCAATGTGTATTGATTCCAGACATTTGTTACTTCATATGGCTGTGAGGTGGAAGAGTCCATGGGTCAGGATGGGTCTCAGATTTAATCAAAAACTATTTTCAGAAAATTGATTCTGTTGGTAATTTGAAACACAATCATAAAACAACATGATTATCTTTCTATAAAACATTATCCGTATTTATATGTATAAGATCCATATGTTCCTCAAGCATGCCACCTTCTATTTTGTATACATATCAACCTACATGAAGCACCATCACAGTCTGTAAGCAGTTGTTTGCTACTCCGTATGTGGTAGAGGCTCTTACATTCAAGCCAATGTTTCCTCCTAGTCTTTTCAAGACAAAGCAATTGGCTAATCTCAGAATGAAAAGTGTCATTTAGAAGAGGCTGAGAGGAAAGGTTCTAAGAGAGGAATAATCTCCTTACTTTTATCCTTTGAATTAAAAGTAATACATATAATCCTGATTATCTGTCAGTAGGTATTAAAATGTAACCACATCAAATGCCCTTGAAAAGCACTGCCTTTTTTTAAAAAAAAGGAAAAGTAAACTACTTATTTATTTATCTAAACGCTTCTATTTTGATGTCTCATACCATGTTTGTATTAGTGTTTTACCAAACTAGGATGTAGAGCCGTTCTGACCTGGGTTAGTATATTTGGTCCTCCATAAACTAGACATGAACTAGATTAGTTTGTGTTAGGTTTTGTTTTAACAGGACTTTGACTATTTAAGTGTCTTTGTTTAGAAGTAATTTGTATTATAGTTTTTTAATGACATAAATTGTCCATTTTCACCACTGCACAGCATTTTTTGAATGTTTGCAGGCACTTATAATGCCTCTCTGAGAATAAAGCTAAATTTACCACTTTTAAAACATCTGCATGTATTTATACCCCCAACCTCTGAACGGCTCCCTCCTAAAAGAAAGTGAATAAATGCAATGACATTAAAATCGGTCTCTTACCACATATTACATGATTGTCCTTACAAGTCCATTTGTATCTGCGTATCATAGGACTACAGCCTTGTTCCTGTGCAAAGCCGTAACAGCAGTCGTGGGCATGGCAGCACCTTTGAGCAATAGAAGTAGGTTCACATATGTTATATTTTGTCATGAATGCTTAAGGACACAATAAAGGTAAAACTACAGGCAATGCAGAAATAAAGTCTCTCTTTAGTTGAAAACTTGCTGTTCTGCCCAGGATAAACCAACAGTGCATCTAATGCTTTTATTGGCACCAAGGTGGCTTTTTGTAGGGGTTTTACGGCACAGAATTTGTCTTCTGGAAGAAATTCATTAGGTACACATAGTAACAAGGGTTTGATAGATACAAACACACAGCTAGTATTGTGGATGGCAAAGTAACTGAAGCAAGAATTAAACGAATCAAATTAATTCCACGTGAGATTTGAATGGTTCCAAATCAAACAAGGGCACACAATAACACACTTCTTCGCGCAGTGCATTCTCTCAATTTAGCAACATGATAGTGTCATCCAACATAATAAAGGGCAGGTTTCTTTAATCCAGTAGTTCCCAGCCTTTTTTGACCAGGAACCATTTGACCAGGGACCATTTTGATCAGGAACCACTCTCCCACATTAGTACCAAGAGGGTTACGGATCAGTTTTTGGATGTTTTCAGATTTGGTTTGGTTACTTGGGGTGCTGATTCAAAAAACTGCATTCGATAGACCTCATCAGCTTTTGTTTCTGATACACAACATATGCTATCCAGTAGTCGTCATCTGCCCGTCCATAGAAAACCATATTTAATAATCTAGAGCTGATGTGGCCTATCCAATGCAATTTTATGAATCAGTACCCCAAATAACCCTAGGAGCAGGTATAAAATGAAGACATCAAGAAAAAAATGGGTTTTTTGTTGTTGTTGTGCTGTGTTATTATTTGTGGATATTGTTCATGCTCAGCACTATATGAGGGTTTTGCAAGACCAGTTGTTCTTATTGCAATGATATAGTAACAGTGAGGCCGCGGACCATATTTTAATTCTTGCAGACCACAGGTTGGGAACCGCTGCTCTAATCCAATAACATTGTCATTCTTACTCCTCATTCCTAAATTTGTTGTAAGTTTCAGACCTTGACAAAGTCCCTCTCCCCTTTTTCTTTTCTTTTTGAACTACGAGTCTCAGAACCATGAGCTGGGATTCATGCTATATTACAGTAAAGGACATTTGCCCAGGAGAGATTGATTTTCTCCTCCAATGTGTTCTACAGTTGTTCTTCCCAACCAATAAATCCTGACACCATATAAAAGCTTTAAATAAAGTGGGAACCCAACTGAAGAAGTGAATGGAAATATGACATTTCAGGATGCAAATGATGCCCTTACCAGTCTGTTTCGTCCTTGGGCCATCCTCTTCCTCCTTGGCCACAGTAGCACCCATAACCTAGATACATCAAAGCAAAACGGCCTGTGGTGCATTGTAAGGCTCCAGACAATTCAATGATTCCTCTTTTGTGTAAAGAATGGGTCTTTCCAAGAACACTATTCCAAACTGTAAAGATAGGGACACGATTTTATTGCATTTGAAATTTAAAAAATTACAACAAAATCCTTGCTTTATCTCTTTTTACACTTTCCAATTCGAGTTCCAAATTGATTCATACATTATGGCACATTCAGAGACTACAGTGAGGAATTTATCACAACAGGCAGTCAAGTCACAGTTACAGCAAGACGAGCGCGTCTTTGGCTGGGACTTATCATATGATTCTACTATCTGATACGTCCCACTGTTACCCTCCTGTAAATGAGATTTGCCTCCTTTGTGTGATACTCTTAAGTTATCATTCAGCCGAGTTCGCAGGTTCATGCATTCTTCTGTCCAATCCTTTCCTCTTCTGGCATAAATGAACAGCAATTCAAAACTATTCACTGAGGTTAATGTGAACCAAGCTTTGAACAGACCAGTTTTAAGTCATGGTTTAGAATCATAGAATCATAGAGTTGGAAGAGACCTCATGGGTCATCCAGTCCAAACCACTGCCAAGAACCAGGAAAATCGCAATCAAAGCACTCCCGACAGATGGCCATCCAGCCTTTGCTTAAGAGCCTCCAAAGAAGGAGTCTCCACCACACTCTGGGGCAGAGAGTTCCACTGCTGAACAGCTCTCACAGTCAAGAAGTTCTTCCTCACGTTCAGGTGGAATCTCCTTTCTTGTAGTTTGAAGCCATTGTTCCGCCTCCTGGTCTCCGGGGCAGCAGAAAACAAACTTGCTCCCTCCTCCCTATGACATCCCCTCACATATTTATACATGGCCATCATGTCTCCTCTCAGCCTTCTCTTTTTCAGGCTAAACATGCCCAGCTCTTGAAGCCGCTTCTCATAGAGCTTGTTCTCCAGACCCTTAATCATTTTAGTTGCCCTCCACTGGACACAATCCAGTTTGTCAACATTTCCCTTCAATTGTGGTGCCCAGAATTGGACACAATATTCCAGGTGTGGTCAGACGAAGGCAGAATAGAGGGGTAGCATGACTTCCCTGAATCTAGTTTAATCATGTGGTTCTTACTGTGGGCACCTACATCCAGGGCATGTGACTGAGGGCATTTTCTTTGGCATTCAGATCTCACCTGATAATTAGGTTCCAACAAAAACTCAGAAACCTTTTTACGTCAATGCAACTAACTGCCCATTGTTAAGACGAAAGAAAATATGGAGAGATTTGTAATGGAAACAAGCATTTTGGTCAACAATTGCTTCAGAATAGTCTCCTGCCTGCCTTCAAAACCCTATACAACTATATTCTGAAACAAAAAAAAGTTTACATTTTTGGCCATGCTGTTAAAGGAGAAGAGATGAGGCCAAGATAGCTTCCCATGAAAAGGTGGTTCAATTTGTAGGAGCTATGAAAAAGATATTCCTCTTTCGTGCCTTCCCAAACATCACCATGAGGATGATGGGCCTGAGATAAAACCTTCTCTGAAAGACTCGAGCAGGCTTACATAGTCTTGTGGAGAGTCTTAACTCAAACTATACACAGTTGTATAGTTCATAATTTGCACTTCAGATTATTCCTGGAAATTAAAATGTATTTTCATTTGTCATTTATTTATTTGTTTATTTTATGTTCTGTCTTTTTTTCAACATAGGGTCAAAGGAGGGTCACATCATAAATTTTTTTAAAAGTACATCTAAGAATTCCTAAGGCATGAAAGTTAATAGACAGTTAAATAACTGATCACATTAAAACACCGGAACTTTAAAACTATGTAACATTATTTAAACATATGGCAATATTAATCAAGGTTTCCAAACAAAGATTTCTGGTTTCTTATATTTCTTGGGACACTGCAAATTAAAGCATTCATGATGAGAACAATATCTAAAATATGTTGTTGAAGGCTTTCATGGCCGGAATCACTGGGTTGCTGTGAGTTTTCCGGGCTATATGGCCATGTTCAAGAAGCATTCTCTCCTGACGTTTCGCCCTCATCTATGGTAGGCATCCTCAGAGGTTGTGAGATCTTTGGAAACTAGTCAAATGGGGTGTATATATCTGTAGAATATCTACAGTGGGGAAAAGAACTCTTGTTTTAGGAAAGTGAGAATGTAGCAATTGCCAACCTTGATTAGCATTGAATAGCCTTGGAGCTTCAAAACCTGGCTGCTTCCTGCCTGGGGGAATCCTTTGTTGGGAGGTGTTGGGAGGTGACAGGAAATTATCAGGGCCAGTTAACACCTCCCAACAAAAGATTCCCCCCCCAGGCAGGAGGCAGCCGGGCTTTGAAGCTGCAAGGCTATTCAATGCTAATCAAGGTTGGCAATTGCAATATTCACACTAGCCTCAGACAGACAAGAGTTCTTTCTCCCACCCTGGACATTCCACAGATATATAAAACCCCACTTGTCTAGTTTCCCACAGACCTCACAACCTCTGAGGATGCCTGCCACAGATATGGGGGTGAAACTTCAGGAGAGAATACTTCTGGAACTTGGCCATACAGACTAGAAAACTCACAGCAACCCAATATCTAAAATATTATGAATTGTTATAATAAAAAAAATCATTGCTTTATTGTCTCCCTTCTCAAAGTTATTTACAGATTTTCTTCTCATTTAGGGACATGTATTAAACAAACATATTTCATTCTTGCTAACCTGAAAAAAATTCTCAACCGTTTCTAAGAAAGTGATAGGTCTTAAGTCTTTATATCCCAAAGACATGTAGTTAAAACATTTTGCATAATACAATACCCAACAAACAGGCTTGACAGACAAAATTGCCTCTGCATTGGAAACCTGAAAAAGGGTCCACCTCTACACTTTAATAAGGTCAGGGCTCTTAAAACAAAAAGCAAGTAAAGAGCACTATGTTTATACAGACTGGGTGTTGTTTTCAAGAAATACCTTGGAAATCTGATAAGCATTCCTGAAAATATATTAGTTGCTCTGTACAACTTAGAATTCAAACGGTTTTTTAAAATGGGTTGTTGTAGGTTTTTTCGGGTTATATGGCCATGTTCTAGAGGCATTCTCTCCTGACATTTCGCCTGCATCTGTGGCAAGCATCCTCAGAGGTAGTGAGGTCTGTTGGAACTAGGAAAAAGGATTTATATATCTGTGGATTGACCAGGGTGGGACAAGGGACTCTTGTCTGTTGGAGCTAGGTGTGACTGTTTCAACTGACCACCTTGATTAGCACTTGATGGCCTGGCTGTTGTTCGGCGTGGCTTATTAGTGCCTGGGGCAATCTTTTGTTGAGAGGTGATTAGATGTCCCAGATTGTTTCCCCTCTGTTGTTTTGCTAATTTTAAATAGTTTTTTTAAAAAAAATTGAGATGCATAATAAATGGCAATTTTATAAAAAATGAAAAGCAGTAAGAAAATAATGCCTGAAGGGCACTGTATTATGAACAAATATACATATTAACTTTCACACAAAGTGGGAAAATATATATGCACACACCCAAAATATATTCATATTATTATAAATTATGCATCACATCCCTTGATCTTGAAAGAATTCCCAAGAGAGGAGGATATGACATTTCAACCCCATCCTGTGTTCATTCCTTCCATAGCCTGGTAAAATTCCTTAGTTGGGTTGCCGTGAGTTTTCCGGACTGTATGGCCATTTTCCAGAAGCATTGTCTCCTATAGAAAGGGCAGTCCTTTCTTCAAATAATCATGTAATTGAATTATTCTTTTTATACTATTTATTTACTTCATTTTTAACCCCACCTTTCTCACCCAAGGGGACTCAAGGCGGCTTACAGCTCTGGTAAGAATTCAATGCCAGTCAAAACCAACAATAAACAATAAAAACACATTCCACAGTTGAAACAATTGACAATTAATCAATAAAACACATAAAACAGTATGCATATTAAAAACCTATGAGGTGCATAGTTACATTCACCCAATAACCTTGAATAGGAAAGGCACTACAGCTAAGGAAATTTTACGAAGAAAGCACAGAAGGCTCTGTCTTCTACTACGGGGCTAGACAGATCGCTAAGAATTATCACATAACAAAAATGTGCCATGCAAATTAGACAGTGTGCCATAAATTTATAACAGAAGGTTTTCTGACAGGCATTACGCTGTAGTAAATATTCCAGGGGCCTTAAAATAAGTAAAAAGTCTGGCAATGACAACTTGACAAAGTTCTGCTGTGTGCCAGCCTGTGCCGTGGAAAGCTACAATCTCAGAAGCAGAAATTGGAAAAGTTCCTTTTTTGGAGTACTACTCCCAGAATGTGCAGAAAAGGCATGTGCTATATGCTTATCTATATATTTTACATTTATTGCCTTTCCCCTTTCTTCCTTTCAACTATAGACGAGTTAAACTACCTACTGAAAACATCATAATTTAAAGGATGGAGACCAAACAAAGGCAATCATTCAAATATGAGAACTGCATAAGTCAACATGCCAGAATACCCAAAGCCAAGCTATTCTATTGACCTAATTTCACCGAAGGAGTTTTCAGTATCTAGGAATAGCCATGGTGAACTAAAATAAGTATACTTCATTTGACTGGGCTTCATGCCACCTTGGGAGTTTAAGGATATTTATTTTGCTTATGCATTTTTGAACACAATGAGACCTGTCTGGGTTCTTTACACACCGACATACTGCACAGTTAACATGCAAACAATCAGTATCTGGAAGCTTAGGATGTGTCATACAATACCAATGTGGGAAAAATAAGTTTACTCACCTGTCCAAGAGCTGCTTGCTTTTCCTGCACAGAATTTTGTAAAGATCAGTAATGAATCCTCTGCATTGGGTGGGAGAAAACAGGAGGAGTGCAAAGGGGTAGGTGTTTTGAGGACATCAGCAGTCAGATCATTTCAGGTGCCTTAAGTTTTACTCACCTGTCGGAAACAGCAGCAGGGTCACCAGCCGGGCTTCCATTCGGAGGTCAACTCAGTGCGACCCCCACCCTCTCTCTTGCACACTCATAGGCTGTTTAGAGTCTCCCTGTAATTCTGCTGTCAAACTAAGCCAAGGAGTGGGTGTGTATAAACAGTCTTTCCAGGCTGCTCCGCTACAGTCTACTCTCAGAGCTAAATATATGCATATACAGTTAAAAGGTGAGACACTTCTTTCCGTCCTGCCAAATGCCCACTGCTCAGACACTGAGGGAAGGCCCAGTTCTCGGAGGCGGCCTCCTGCCAACCAGGTTCAATGCCTCTATGTGCACGTTGTTCCTTTTTGGGAGGGGCTGTAAGGAGGGAATTAGGCTGAAAAGATCTCTCCGACAGGTTTAGATACTGCAGCCACTAAGCCAGAGTTCCTTTCCTAAGCTGTTTGCTTACAGTCCCCAACTGACCCCTTCAGTGTTGCTTCACCTCTCTGACTGTGCCAGCCTCACATCTACAACTGGAAAAGTTTATAAAACTAGCAGTGTTTTTTTTTAGTTTTTAAAAATATCAAAAACAAAACTCACAAAAGGATCTCTTTCTTCCAAATACTTGAACTTTGCAAACTTATTAAACTTATTCAAGTAATTCAGACAAGCTATGAAAAGTTCACTAGGCTCTCTTTTGATCCTTGCCTCATTTACATCCCTTGACCTGGTTCCTACCAGATGTTGGACTACAACTCCCATTTTCCCTAGCCAGCCTAACCACATGAATTTACATGAATCAGATATAAGCTATACAGGCAGCCCTCCACATTCGCTGGGGTTAGGGGCACAGTATCCTTGTGAAAGTGAAAAAATGTAATAAATAAATAGCTATCCCCCCACCCCCAAATAACACCTTTCTGGAAATTTCCAGGTCTTCCAGCGTGAAGATCTATGGTCAATTTCAACTGGAATCAGACTGGAGAGACTAGACATTCCTAGAGAAATATTCCCTCTGAAAATCTCTAGGTCCTCAAGAATCTCTGGAGGAATCATAAAGTGATACTGTAGGACCTAAAGTTTCCTACAGATAACATTTTTATCATATTTGTGAATACTCAAATCCCCAAAAGTCGAAACCACAAATGTAGAGAAACAAAAGTAAAATCAGCCCTTCACATTTGCTGTGCTTAGTGGTGCAGGACTCTCGCAAATGTAGAAAGTGTGCTTCTTTATTTTTACCTGGGAGAACACTTCTCTAGGAATCTCTAGGTTCTCCAGTGAGGTTCTGTGGTCAGCTTCTTCAGGACCATAGAGTTGTGCTGGAGGATCTAGACCAGTGGTTCTCAACCTGTAGGTCCCCAGATGTTTTGGCCTTCAACTCTCAGAAATCCTAACAGTTGGTAAACTGTTTCTAGTGAAGTGTTCTCTTTAGGGATCTTTAAGTTCCCCAGCATAAATCTATGATCTATTTTTGGCCATTGTTGACCACAGAGGCTTTCTGGAGGAACAAAGATTCCTAGAAATACCATATTAATCAAATCTATGGATTATCAAATCTGCAAAAGTTATACCTGGACACGTGGAGGAGCATTTAAATACTGAAAACTGTGTTTTGAGATGAAGCACTAAATGGAATTTCCAATGGCACAAAAACAAATTTAGCAATATAATAGGTAGATATGACTCTTAGCCATGGGCTAATGCCAATAAATCAGAGACAGTGGGCACCCTTTGAATATCAAATGTGTAAGAAAAAAGAGCCATACCTAGCATTGTTCTCTACCATTCCCATTACACCTATGATACTTCTTAAAACTAGATGCTATTGTTATTGGGGGAAGAAACACCAAAAAAGTTCCAGAAACTTGAAATATACAGAATAACATAGGTATTGTAATTTAAGCCTATCTGTCTTTTTGAAACGGTGTGGGGAACTCTTGGTGGAATTTGAAACATTTCCAGGATTTAATTAGCAAGCAGTAAACTTTGGATTCCAAAATAAATGATATAAACTTGCTCTGACATTACCATGGAGATTCAAGGGAGGTTGGCAGTATAACAGAGTTGAAGAGAAATAGCAGGATATAGGAATGGTTTAAGGAGTAAACTTTTACTAGAAGGTGACAAGAAAACAAGGGCCAAGATCCTGCCTCAGGAGATGTATTAGAAAGTTCTACATAGGCAAGACTATGTGGTGTCTTCCCTTCACATTCTCACTTACTACCTCATCAGACGGGTCAGTTTGCCAGTGATACACTGCTTCCCCTCCATTTTCAGCACAAAGTCCTTCACACGATACACAGGCACTTCCAGTCAGGCTCGGTGCTGAAAAGGGAGTGGAAGCAGTGGACACCGCCATCACAACAACACAGAAGCATTGCCGTGTTGCCTTCCCAGCAATGGGGGGAAACTGGGCAGCAACACTTCCCCCAATGGGATGAGGGGCAAGGTAAGGCGGACGATGCAGGGCATGGAGCAGCAGCTTCTCCACACCCCTCACTGTGGGCTATAGACTGATCCCGATGCAGGGCTAATCCATGGGCCTTTTCGATGAGGTCATCAGTCTCTCAACAAGAACATTTACTGGCCAATGGAGAGTAGTAGCCAATGACAGAGAAGCATCCAATTATGTACCTATAGATGAACATACACCAACAGGCATGATCCAAGATGTCCTGGAAATCTCATGAAGTCTTGGCTGACATTCAGTTAGGGAAACATAGCTAGAGGCTTCTCCACTGCCTCCCTTGCACTCCACCAGACAGTAAATGGTAGTGTTTGTTGTGATTGCAGCAGCTAAGAAGTGGTTAAGTGAAAAATTTGGCTGTTTTGCAACTGGTAGATGGCATATGTTCAGTATCTCAAAAGCTAGAGCTGATAGGGAAAAACTGGCATCATTTTTTTGAATCAGCAGATCAAATATACCCAGAAAAAGGACTAACATTTGAGGCACTGAAATGTGTGTAGGTCAGTGTTATTATTGTGTGCCTTCAAGTTATTTGTGAAGTATGATGACCTTAGGCCAGAGCTGCACAATATACAGCCCATGGGCCACTTCTGCCCCAGTAAAGGATTCATGCAGCCCATGAAAAATGTAGAGGGTGTAAAAGAAAGCAAAGATGCAATGAGTGCTTGCTGAAAAAGGGGAGGCATCCTTTTCCAGATTGGTGGTGGCAAGAGAGCATGGGAACCAACCAAGGGGCATGTAAATTCCAAGGGACATGAAAAGAATAGTGGCCTTTTCTCAGCTTCCGGTGGCAGCGAGAGTCCTCCTTTTACCCTTTGGCCAGTTTTGTATGGCAGCAGCATGCAGCATGTACACAAGGATGGCCAAGAATTCTTTTTGGGAAATAACCCAACCAATAACAAGCAAATACTTCTGCTGGAGTCAGCCAATCAGGAATGTGAGCCTCTGTCATGCTTAGCAGCATGGAAAGTCTGATCCAATGGCATGTGATCCTTCTCCACCCAATGGCATGTGATCCTTCTCCACCTACCCCCTTTTAAATCTTCAGACTGGGGCATTTGCAGGCCTCATCTAGGCAGCAAGTTATTTGCCTTCTGGGTTGCTATGAGTTTTCTAGGCTGTATCGCTATGTTCCAAGGCTTCTGGAAACATTGCCATCCAGCCCAGAAAACTCACAGCAATCTAGTTATTCTGGCCATGAAAGCCTTCGACAACATATTTGCCATCAGCTGGGTAGAGAAGAAAGAATCTGACTTCTTCTCATCTCATAAAAGTCACTTTTGGACAACAACTCGTAGAAGCCACAAGTCAGTGTGGTCACTGATATCATTGTATGGAAGATTCTGGGCATTATAGGCCAAAAGTGACTGGGTCTGTTCATGTAGTAATTTCTGATACGACCAGGTTCTCCCAGTTCAGTGTCATAGGGTGCATATACACTTCTTAATGCAGTTTGGCACCACTATAACTTCTATGACCTCATCCTATGAAATCCTAGATAAATATCTCGGCAAATTCTAGAATTCCAGAGTTCCATAGCATTGACCCACAGCAGTAAATGTGGTACCAAACTGTTATATTTCTGTAGTGTAGATATAACCTCCCAATGTGGCAAAAAGAGAACAGTTGAGGAAAATAAAGTGGCCAAAAGACCTATTACATTTAAGAAGTAGACTGGGAAGAAGCAGTTAAAAGCATCTTTTGAGTATAGATGGGGCAAGAAGTTGATAGGAAGATACTGTGCTGGAGAGTAGGGTTAAGACTGCTACTTACCATAGAGCTTTCCCCATCCCTCTGAGAACTGCTTTGACAGCAAGGAGAGAAAGGAGCTGGTTACCTAGCAACCCCTATATGCATTGTCTTGCCCACTGTTCTTCCTGTGAATGGACTTGACAACTAAAAACTCCATGGGTGTTATTTCCAGGCCCCTCTCCTCACTACTTTTCGCTTCATTTTTCTCACTAGTCCCAGAAAGAAGGTGGATAGAGAGTGGTAGGAGAAACAGGGCTGGGATGTGCAGAGCCCTAGTAGAGCAAAGCTAGAAATGGGATACATATACAAAAAGAATGAGCAAACGTTGGCACTCTAGGTGTTTTGGACTTCAACTCCCACAATTCCTAAAAGCCAGTAGAACAGAATAGAATAACTTTATTGCCATTGTATAATGAAATTAAATGCTTTCCCAAGGACATATCACGCAACACAAAACAACACCCCCATCCCTCTTCAGGGGGATGTTGAAGCCCAAAACACCAGGAGGCAGGCCCGTAGCCAGGATTTCGTTTCGGGAGGGGCTGAATTTTTTTTCAGGGGGGGTTTCGGGGGGGGGGGGCTGAGTCTGAGTGAAAGAGGGTCTAGCCTAGCAAACCTTTTGTATCATTACCCCAATACCCCCATGCATATGGGATATATTGAGTATGGTGATCAGTTCATGATATGAATAAACATAACAGTTTAAATAATGCACCAATAAGGCCTTTTCGCGAACCACCATGAGAATTTCGGGGGGGGGGGCTGAAGCCCCCCGAGCCCCCCCCCCCCCCGGCTACATGCCTGCCAGGAGGGACAAAGTTTGCTCATGACTGGTCGACTCTGATACTTATACATACATTCATATAAACATACCCTAACAAAATTACATAATTACTCACTTTCTCTTACCATCATACACCTCTAATTACATATAACTCTAAAATATATATAGTAAAAGGTTTTCCCCTCACATTAAGTCCAGTCATGTCCAACTCTGGGGGTTGGTGCTCATCTCCATTTGTAAGCTGAAGAGCCGGCGTTGTCCGTAGACACCACCAAGATCATATGGCTGGCATGACTGCATGGAACACTGTTACCTTCCTGTCGGAGCGGTACCTATTGATCTACCCACATTTGCATGTTTTCGAACTGCTTGTT